GATTATTTATCTCAGGTGTGGGCCCGGTCCTGCCCGGTGTAGAAGCAGAAGAGGCGCAGTCGGGCTACGCCAGCTCCATCAGCAGCCCAGAGCGTAAGCGTCACCCCGCGATCGACGCGGAGCTTCTCAACCAATCAAATCACCCCACCGCCGACGGACTTCTACGGCTTCGTGCATCACCAGCGGTATTGGTTCTGAGCATTTGCTCTGGACTGGAGTCCGTGCTAGCAGCACCTGGTCAGGATCGTCCGACGCGGACGCTTCCAATTGCGATCCGTGAAAAGCGCAAGCTGTGGTGCTGACCAGTCCCAAATCAATGTTTTGCTTTGGAGCCCATGCTGACAGCGCAGCGCGTCTGTCCCGCGCTGGAACAGGCGGTGGCCCATCGCCGACCGCGACAACGGTTGTGCGTGCTGACGCGCTTGTCCAACTGTGTCCAGCTGTGCCTCCGTGTCCTGTTAGGCATCCAACGGCACTCTTTGCCGGTGTCCTACGCCGACTGCCGTCGCCCGTGCGGGCTTGCGCCGGCGTCTGTCTCCCTCCCTCGCTGTGGTTGTGCTGAGATGTCCCAATGTCTGCGCCTGTGTCTGTGCCTGTGTCTGTGCCTGTGTCTGTGCCTGTGCCTGTGTCTGTCTGTGTCCGTGTCTATGTCTAAGTCTGTCTCGAGTTGCGTTCTGTTCTGTCGGCTGTTGCGACCGCAACCTGCGTGACTCGCAGTGGCGGCGCTGACGCCCCGTCCGCCGCCGGCAGGTGCGATCGAGGAGAGCGACACCGACGGCCGGCGACGCCTCCTCTCGCTCGAGCCGGCCGACGTGCTCGAGGCGTTCGACGGCCGTCGCTCCGGGCTGCTGAAGCCGAGCCAGCTGGCGAAGCTGAGCATGGCGGCCGAGCGGGCCGCGCCGCCAGTCGAATACCGGCCCACCGACTGGAACGGCCTCACGCGCAAGCAGTTCCTCTGGTCGCGCTTCAGCGACGAGGACCGTCGTCTGGTGATGCAGACGGGTCGCGGCCGACGGCGCAGCGTGCCGGCCGCCGAGCCGCGCCGGCGCGCCGACGCCTTTGAGGCCGCGCTGCGCACCTTCCAGGAGATGGGCCGGGGGCGAGGCCGCGGCTGCGGCGCCGGCCGCGTCGCTGGCTGCCGGCCGCCGCCGCCAGCGCTCGTGCCCATCTTCCCGCCGGGGCGCCTGGCGGGGAGACGGGCCGAGGCGGGCGCGCCGGGGGAGGGCGACACGCGGCCGGAGCAGGCGGCCGTCCCGCCCAGCGCCTCGCTGGACGACAGCCCGCACCGTGCCGGGCCGCGCCCGGTCCTGTCGTCGGCGGCCGCGTCGCCCGGCGAGCTGGCGTCGTTCAGAACAGAAGGCTCCGACCAGGTGTTCCGGGGCGAGTCGCCGGAGCTCGCGGCGAGGAGGCGCGGCTCCGCTGTGGCTTCCAGCCGCCGGCGAACGGTGTCGGACGGCCTGGCGGAGCTGCACGCCGCCAGACACTCCCACAGTCACTGTGCCATGCCGAGACCCTCGTCCGTGCCCCAGGCCTCGCCGGCTCATATTCGGGGGCCCGCGGATCCGTTGTCTGGCCGCGAGACCCAAACACGCCAGCTGTGCGATCATGTCAAAGCAGCGCCCGAGCCTGTTAACCGTATGGCGCCCACGAAGACAACCGAGACCCGCGATTCGCCGCCGCCGGCCACCCCGCCGTGCACCCCGCCGTGCACCCCGCCGTGCCCGCCGGCCGGACTCACGTCCGTCAGTCCGCACGCACCGCTGGCGACGCCGCCGCCGAAGGGCGACATCGAGATCAGGCTGGCCGAGGACGACCGCTCGTCAGAAGCCGAGGACACGGACGGCTCGGCCCCGGACGAGCGGCCGCCGCCGCCGCGGCGCCGCGTCCAGGTCGAGCGCCGCGACAGCGAGATCCACCTGCGCCTGAGCCGCTCTAGCGAAGAGATGATCCGCCAGCTGGAGAGCGTGCAGTACGAGCCGGGCCAGACAGATGACGACGGCGTCGAGCTGCGCAAGAAGAAGCCCAAGAGCTTCCGGCGCAAGCTGAAGGAGGTGCTGCGTCGCGCCAAGGAGGACGAGGCGCTGCTGCAGGACTTTACGGAGTACCTGGTCGTGGTACGTCCCGACAAGATGATCCTGAAGCGGGTGGGGGAGGTGACGCGGGAGGAGGAGCCGCCGCCGACGGCGCGGCCGTCCCGCGGCGGCAGAGGCGGCCGGCAGCACTGTCAGCAGCGCCGCCACGCGGCCCAACCGGGGGCGTGGGCCGACGCCGGGCCGCCGCCGCTGCCGCCGCCCGAGACGCTACGGTCCGAGCCGCCGCCGCGCACGCCGCCCGTGGCGCCGTGGTGTGACACGGACGACGAGGTGCCCTTCTCGCCGCGCTACGCCTCGCCGGCGGCGGCCGCCTCGCCGGCCAGTGGCTCGCCGCGCGCGCGCGAGTCGCTGGTGGACTTCATCAGTCGGCACAGCCAGCGGCCGCGGCTGACGGCGCGCCGCCGCTGCCGGCCGGCCTCCGTCATCCAGCGGCTGCCCGGCAGTCCGGCGCCGCGCCACTCGAGCCCCGTGCAGTCGCCCGACTCGACGAGCGCGCGCGCGCCCGCCACCGCCTACGACATCAGCCGCTACATCGAGAACATTACGCCGGTGCCGGCGGACGCGGCTGGCAGTTCGCCGCCGCCGAGGGCGGAGCGCGGAGGAGCTGCGGGGGAGGACGGAGAGAAGACGGACACCGCCAGCAGTCACGAGGGCTCGGCAGAACGCGTGGACGCCGAGGCCGACAAAAGACGAGACCCGGTGAATGCACCGAAGGGCGATCCTGACCCGGCAACGGCCGTGGAGGCGAGGGCGCCATCCAGCCCGCCGGAGGTCACCATCAGCCGCATCCGGGTACGTCGCTCACCCCCGATCGCGCTGGCGGCGGACGGGGCGCAGCGGCAGCTGCTGAAGCGGCCTGCCGCCGCCGGCCAGACTCTGCCGCTGAAGAAGCGCCGGCTGGAGACACCTGAGCAGAAGACGCAGCGCAACTGCATTCTGGCGGCAGTGCACGGCCCGCAGGTGGAGGACCTGCCGCGCAACGGACACCGCCTCGAGATGGCGCTCGTGCACGGCTACGAGTTCCTCTTCCAGCCGAGCAGCACAGAGTGCGCCATCACGCGCATCGTCAACCCGTCGTACGACCCGGCGCGCGCACTGCCCGACCCGCGCTACTCGGCCTCCAGTCGGCCGGCGGGCCCGGCGCCGCCAGCGCACAGTGCGAGTATGGCCCCCTGCCAGCCGCCGCGGCGGCCGCCGCCGGCGTACCCGCCGTTCTGGCCGCTGCCGGAGATGGCACCGGGCGGCTCTGTCGCCGGGCCCTGCCGGCCGCTGCAGCCCACCTCGCGCCGGCCGGCGGCCGCGGCGCAGAAGCCTTCCGTCCCGGCCGGCCGGCCGTTCGCCGGCCTGCCGCAGCTGGGGTCCCGCTGTCCGCCGCCGGCGCTCGGCCAGCAGCGCGACTTCCTGCCGCCCGCCGGGCTATTCCCGTCGGCGTACGGCCACCCGCCCCGCCCTGCTGCACCCGATGGCCCTGCCACCGCACGCCATGAACCCACGCGTGCACGCGTTCTTCCAGGCGTTCGAGCGGGCGGCGCGGCCGGCGGAGCGGCGGCCGGTGGCTGCGGACCCGGCGGCCGGGCTGCGGCCGGCCTGCCCGCCGCAGCAACTGGCAGCGGACGAGCGGCGCGGCTTCCAGGTGTATCTGGGCGCCGAGCACCGGCCACTGCCCACCTGCTACGGCCCCGACTGGCAGCAGCAGCAGCAGCAGCAGCAGCAGCGCCACCACCACCAGATGCTGCAGCGCGAGCAGCAGCTGCACGAGCAGCACCTGCAGCTGCAGCGGCAGAAGCAGCAACTACAGCAGCCCGAGCGGCACCAGCCGCGCAACCTGCAGCAGCAGCAACGAGACCATCACCAACAGCAGCAGCAGCAGCAGCAACGAGACCATCACCAGCAGCAGCAGCAGCAGCAACAGGCTGAGCAGCAGCAGCGCCTGCAGACTAAACAACAACAGCAGCAGCAGCAGCAGCAGCAGCAGCAGCAGCAGCAGCAGCAGCAGCAGCAGCAGCAACAACAACAACAGCAACAACATCAACAACAGCAGCAGCAGCAGCAGCAGCAGCATCAACAGAGACAGCAGCAGCAGCAGCAGCAGCAGCAGCAGCAGCAGCAGCAGCAGCAGCAGCAGCAGCAGCAGCAGCAGCATCAGCAGCAGCATCATCAGCAGCATCAGCAGCAGCAGCAGCATCATCAGCAGCAGCGTCTGCAAGTTGAACATCAGCAGCAGCAGCAGCGCCTGCAGACCGAGCAGCAGCAGCAGCGGGCAGCGGTTGGCTGGGGTCAGCCGCTGCCGCAGCCGGACGGCAGCCAGTGGTCGCTGCCAGCCGCAGCCGGGCGCCGCCAGCCGCCGGCCGAGCCGCTGGCCCCCTGCCGCCTGCAGACGGGCGCCGAGAGCGCGCCGCGCCGGCCCGCCGCCTGCTACCCGTACGCAGAGTACGCCGGCCAGCGGCGGCACGCGTACCCGACGCTGAGCGAGCCGTGGGCGCCGGTCGGGCCGACCGCGTGGCCTCACTACCCGTGAGCCGTGCAGCGATCCAGGAACGGGACACGTCGGTCTTCGCGGCTCGGCCGCTCGCTCAAACCGTGGGTGGGTCGCGCCGGACTGCGCCAGGGAGCGGCTGGTGTTTTACAGGATTCGGAAGAGGGGCGCGAGATGAGGGTGCCACTCAGCATATCCGCTGTTTTAACCCGGAGGATACGCTGTTACGTGTAGTTTATATGTATTTTATCAGTCTTGTTCATCCGTGTGTCGCGTTTTACGTTTTTCAAGCGTGCCTCCAAGAATACACCATTCTACTTTCGAAACAACGTGTATTGGGAAATAACGCCAAACAAACGCAGCCCGCCAGACTGAGCCACAGGTACCGATCCACGCCCACAACCTGAACAACACGCTCCGAAGCAGCACGCTCAGGCCGCTCCCTGCGCCTGCCGACACAGGCCGCTAGCGCCTGCACCGCCGCCGGCGGCCCACGCGGACGGGCCTCGAGCGCCGTCCATCTGCGGCCGTCCACCGCTGCTCGGCCCTCCGCGCCGTCCCATCCGTCGGCGGCCCGCACGGGCGGGCTACGCTCAGAGTCCCGCCGGCGGGGCGGCGCTGGGGCGCGGCCGCTTGGCCGCCGCCGCCCCGCCGACAGGGCCGTCCTCCAGCGGGCGTCTGAGGGCTCTGGGCGCGCCGCACGAGCCGCTTACCGGCTGGCCGGACGGCGGCTCGGCGCCGGCTGAGCGTGCTCGGTTCTCGATGGAGCCGAGCACTGCCTGAAAGCGAGACAACGGGTCAGCAGCCTGTGTTGTGGCGGCGCCGACCAGACAACGGCGCAGCCCAATACTGCTCACAGCAGCACTTGCACGCGCTACAATATGATTTTGTTCAAGGACTGAGAAAACAAATTTATCGGGTTTGCAAACTGCCAATCAGGAAATTGAAAGCGCAGCACGAGTAGCAGCGACAAATTCCCGTTGCAAAAAGGTCAACTCATGCTCATGCACCTGCGATGACAATGGCGCGTTACCCAGTAGCACTGTAAACAAGTGATGAGCAAATGTATTGACGGACCTCACAGTCATTTCTACCCGCATCAAAATAGCATCGGCATCATAAAAATATAAGCGGCTGGTAGGCCAATTATTACAGACCAATCTATCCCTAGCGATTCATCAGCACGAGCGTGAGGCTGGAAAATAAAACGGCGTTTACTGCGCTGCAATACCGGCCGCTGTGGACCAGAACGGTCAATACTGCCGCTTGTGGCAGCGGCGGCCCACCAACTGGGGCCGTCACACCTCTGTCCGGCTCCACAGCGGCACCACAGTCAGCTAGCCACCTGGGGCCGTCACATTTCTGCCCGACTCCACAGCGGCACCACAGTCAGCTGGCTGCCTGGGGCCGTCACATCTCTGCCCGGCTCCACAGCGGCACCACAGTCAGATGGCGGCCTCGGGCCGTCACATCTCTGCCCGACTCCACAGAGGCACCACAGTCAGCTAGCTGCCTGGGGCCGTCACACCTCTGCCCGGCTCCACAGCGGCACCACAGTCAGCTGGCTGCCTGGGGCCGTCACATCTCTGCCCGACTCCACAGAGGCACCACAGTCAGCTGGCGGCCTGGGACCGCCACACCTCTACCCGACTCCACAGCGGCACCACAGTTAGCTAGCCGCCTGGGGCCGTCACACCTCTGCCCGACTCAACAGAGGCACCACAGTCAGCTAGCTGCCTGGGGCCGTCACACCTCTGCCCGACTCCACAGAGGTACCACAGTCAGCTAACCACCTGGGGCCGTCACACCTCTACCCGGCTCCACAGAGGCACCACAGTCAGCTGGCTGCCTGGGGCCGTCACACCTTTGCCCGACTCCACAGAGGCACCACAGTCAGATGGCTGCCTGGGGCCGTCACATCTCTGCCCGGCTCCACAGAGGCACCACAGTCAGCTAGCCACCTGGGGCCGTCACATCTCTGCCCGGCTCCACAGCGGCACCACAGTCAGCTGGCTGCCTGGGGCCGTCACATCTCTGCCCGGCTCCACAGCGGCCCTACGAGACTTCAGCTGGCCACCCTGATGGACCGTCCGTGACCCACCCCGGCGGGTCTCCTGCCTTGGGTCCGGCCGTGACCCGCCCGCCCGACAGGGTACGGTGTCAGGGACGGACGGCGCAGCGAGCGCCGGGCCTGACCTCGACCTCGACACTGTGATCATCGGTGACCCCGCCCGAAAGAGCTTCTCCTGACCATTCGGACTACTCTCTCGTCATCCTTGGCACAGCGGTACACGACGTGCCGAAACGCGTGAGGGCGGTAGGGTCAGTAGCTGGCACACCTAATGCTGTGAGCACGAAACAGACCTGTCAGTACAAACGACTCCCAATACCTGGCTGACATCTGAGACTTCGGTAGACATCGGGGCTTCCCCGTTGTATCACGATGCATTGGTGAAAAAAAGTGGAAGCGTTCATGCCGGCATCGACTCAGAGACGCTTGCTCTGGCAGAGTGGGCTGGCAAACACTTTGGAAATCGTGAACTAGTCCGGAATTATTACGCAATGTTTAAACATTTTGCCCTTTTCATCCACATATCAGCTTTTTCACAATACGCGTTCCATTTTCATTGTTTCATTGTGAGGCAGAAAAACGATGACAGCAATGTAAGTTGGCATCTCGACTGATTATGAAATGTATTTGCATTTCCTGGACTGTCTTACATCGCATTATATACTTCCAAGACGGTGGGAGCTAGCTATAACGCCTGAAATCTACAAAAAGGAAAGAAATCACACCGCTTGTCGCTCTTTTCGCGAACGTCGTTTCCCAGTGCAAAAGAAACACCAACAGCTTAGCACCCATTTCGAACGACTAAAGCCCACATCGGTACTCTGCGCAGCATGCAGGTATCACAGTCTCACCTTGGGTATGGCATGTTTTGCTGTCATCTCGGCTGCCTTCCGTTCGTACTCTGGTCGCCGGAGCCGGTACTCCTGGGCCTGCCGGATGACAGACTACGTCATCTGACACCACCGCGAGACGGCGCTACGGACTCCGACATACTGGAGCCGGTACTCCTGGGCCTGCGGGTGACAGACTAACGTCATCTGACACCACCGCGAGACGGCGCTGCGGACTCCGACATGCTGGAGAAGAGTGTGAACTTCAAGTTCGGGATTCAGGGTTGGAGCACGTTCTCCCAACCAGGGTGGAGGTGGAATTTTTCATCCGTTTACATATACGAGGTCGTGCAATACGGAAGTTTCTGTATGGTACCATTCGCACACCTCAGCAAAACTGACTGGCTAGCTTTTTATGTTTCGTTTATCAAAAACTGTCGTAAAGGCAATGTTCCACATTTGAATATATTGGAGCGGGCACCAGATTTGAAACAGGGTCCGTTTTAACTTTTGATTTCCTTCTAAAGGGAGCGTTCCAGCTTTGTATAGGGCTTAGAGCTGAAATAGCCATCTTGAAGATCATTTGGTGCAGTTCACAACCCCGTTTCGTGAAGACTTAAAATCCTCCAGTTTCTGAGCTACACGCCCGCGAAGACGTACAGGCTATTTCAAAATTACCCAAGCGTCTATGACGCCATAATAACGTGAATCAATTCTTGCTATATACACATACATACATGCATACATATATATATATATACATATATATATATATATATATATATATATATATGTATGCATGTATGTATGTGTACATAGCAAGAATTGATTCACGTTATTATGGTATATACACGTGTATATATATATATATATATATATATATATATATATATATATATATATATATATATATATATATAGTACCGCACTGAAGTAGGCAGCACGCTGATACGTCGGCCCGGTGTCCGGAAGGAGGCGACTGAAGGCAAGCACAGCGTCCCGCGACAGCGCTTGGACAGCCAGGTCGCTAGAGAACCCAGATGGAGAGAGCATCGCCATCATCAGTCGAACCCTGCATTTTTCATTGCAGTGGGAACTTCTCAAATGCTAAGGTTCTTGCATGGCACCGAGTGGTCAAGATATACGAGCATGGAAGATATAGGAGATGTAAGAGCATGGCTTGGGCAACTTTGGATTGAAAACCTGGTGCAGGGGACTATCTCACATCACACCCTGCGATGGTGACAAAGCAAGCTCACCCCATCCCCAGGACCATCCCACCCAGGGAGACCACCTTACCTATCACGCGCGATCTACGGACCATCCCTACCACTCAAACTCTCACTCAACTCAAACTCTACCTCACCCCACCTCACCCCACCATTACCACCCGGTCCCGGAGCCCACGCCCACACTCCACCCCCGCGCCGCCTGTTGCCCCTGCCGCCGTCCTCACCACGTCGGGCATGAGCGGGTCGTCCGGGTTCGGCTCGGCCAGCAGCAGCCGGATGGACATGAGCAGCGTGGCCAGCCGCAGGCTGGGCCGCCAGCCGCCCGTCGGCGGCATCTTCAGCGCGTCCAGGCAGATCCGGCCCGACGGGTCCACGTTCGGGTGGTACACGGGCGTCGCGAACGTGATCTGCGGCGGCTCGAACGGGTACCTGGGCACCGCCGTCACCGGTCAGTGACGTCATCAAGGGGCGCTGGCGACGCATCCGCGCGAAGGCCGGCGGCGGATCAGGCAGTGATGCTGGTGTATCTTCCATTCAGGTGCTATTAAGTGAGAGCTGGTGCAGGCGCGCGAACCCGAGCTCACGCTGGACAAGCCACTGTGCTGTGTACTGTGTGTCCAGGTCCAGGTCTAGGTCACACTGTGTGCCCACATTCAGGTCATGCTGTGTGTCACAGTTAGTCACTGTGCTGTGTACTGTATGTCCAGGTCAGGGTATGGTATGCATGTCCAGGTCATGCTGCATGTTCCAGCTAGGCACTGACCTGTGTGCTGTGCCCAGGTCCAAGTCATAGTGTATGTTCTGGTTGGTCACTACTGCGTGAACAAGCGCCTTAGCCCATCACGCCAGCAGTCACACCGCGCGGCTCTCCAGCCAGCAGTTACGCAGCTGGGCAGGACGTCACTGCCCGCGGCCCTCCGCCCGCCGGGCCTGGCTGCGGTGCCAGGGCCGCCGGATGACCTCCCTCACCTCTCCGGCACGACCACGTCCAGCGCAAACGTGCCGCGCTCGAACGGCGAACCCTCGGGGCCCGTCAGCGTGGCCCGCAGCCGCGTGACGTCATCGCCGTCAGCTGAGCACGACACGCCAGCTGGCGGCGCGCTGGCGAACATGGCCAGCTCCCTCTTCAGGCGGGCCTCCCGCTGCATGGTTCGTGGAGGCCTCGGCAGGTGGCGTCAGTGTGCAGTCTATGGATGGACAGTGGGTCATTGCTGAAATGCAGCAAGCAATAGGATATAACTGATCAGAGTTGCAAGCATGTAGGGATGACCTGCCATTTTTCAGCATCCCAGTACAAGGTCATGGGAGCGGCACACTGATGTCCTAAATCGGCATGCCAGAAATGCTACATAGCAGCAGGCATAACAACATTTTGCTAGTGCAGCTGTGGATAGAACCAGTTGGAAGCTCATGTAGGTCAGGGTAGGGTGGTAAGCAAAATTTGTGGGATAAAAAAACTCACATCATTTTATTTTTGTTTTTGTTTTTTGCAGGGTGATGACAGGAATCCTGTGTCTAAAAACTGAACACAGCAGCCTGGACCAATGTCCTCAATTTACCTAGTTATGCAAGCCTGAAGCCACTTATCCTGCTAAGATACTCTACATTGCTATGTATTCTCTGTGCATGCACCACACTTCTCTATCACATCAATCATGCCATGAGATATTGCCTTTCATGATTAATCTCAGCTGATGATAGCATTCCAGCTTGCAAGTAGTCATTTCAAAGGTTTATTTTGCATGCAAAAATGACAGATTTCATAGCATGTAAACAGTGAGTACCAGCCATCTGCACACATCTGCATCATACCATCCATGAGATAGAAAAGTTGAATGCCTGAGTGGAGATTATTAACAATGGTCATATATTTGGGCTAATAAACTGACAGTTTGCCCATATCCACAATACATTTTAGCACACAGGCTAAGCCATTATCACTTAATAGTCTGTAAACCATGACAGGTTTCTATTTGGAGAAGACTATCAAAGGTAAGGGTAAAAATTAATGTATTGGACTTTTGAGAGCATCCTAACATGTTTAACAATGTACAAAACTGGCAACAGGTGATGGACCTCAGAGAAGTACCAAATATGATGGAAAATCATGCTTTTGTGGGCAAGAAGGAATAATCAGAGCTGTCCCAAATTGAACAGTTTACTACAGTATTTGAGGCAGGATTACATCCACTTTAAAACATTGTAATGGGATGTTCACCGGTTTGCAGACCAGAATATTCTTAGCTTAAGATGAAGACCTATGTACTGATAGCAATTATTTCCTACACAGAATCAGGTCGCACGCACGCACGCACACACACACGCATGCACACACACACACACACACACTACATGCCCCCAAAGGGAGGCTGGCTTGCTTGGCATGTTATTGGGGCTTCAGGGTACCTCAACCAGTAAGTTGTGCAGCATACATGCGGGTCCAGTTTAGTTACCTTATGGACAGGCTGCTTGTTGCGAGGGTGTGAAGCCAACCAATGCAATTTATGGACCACCAATTTAAGTATTCCTGGAACAGAACAATGAGGTGGGAAGTTACCCTTTTTCCAAGCAGTACTGAAAAGTCACGGTGACACACTTCCCTCACATGCCTGGCCTGCACACAGACATAATCTGCACAGCCCACATTTTCTGTCTGTGTTCTTAAAACATTTGTACCACGCAACATAGCTACCTGCGACCCTTGCTTTGCTGTCCTGCATCAAGGCCGTATGGGGCGCATAAGGTTCTGTATGGTTGCAAGGCGATGCGTACTGTTCTTTTATAACCCTGTCTGTGTTCTTGAAAATCTGTACCACGCTATGTATGTCCCTACAAACCTTAGCTTGTTGCCCAGCATCAAGGTCGTATGGGCGTATGACGTTTTTTTAGATGGCTGCAAGGCGGCATTTCCCAAACAAAATGATCCAAAAATGCCGCCTTTGCGCCTTCCTGCCAGACTGCTCAAGAGTTATTAGATCAAACTCAACTATTGGATTTAAGAATATGCTGTGAATAGTTTTTTATCAAACAGGTTTCAAAACTTGATCAACTATTTTAGAGCCAATAAATTACAACTAATCTCTTCAATAATGCATTTACATGAGTCATCGTCTTCAGTTACAAAAGTATAGTTGATATTCCTCTTGGTGAATATCAATGACCTTGGCGGCGAAACCTGCGCATGCGTGCGGCAATTTGAGTGACGTCACGCCCTCACAGGCTCCCGATACGTCGAAAGTGCCGGCACGAACATATATAAGGGCAGAAATGAGTGAACCCACAGTCAAAGAAAGCAAAGATGGCCAGCGTGTTGGACCAGCTGAAGGAGCATACGGTGGTAGTCGCCGATACTGGCGACTTCGAAGGTCAGATAGTCGTTTATTTGTTTTGTTTTAGGCTAGTCCAGCCAAGTATCACTTCTGAATTGCAACGGGCCGTCAAACTTAAAGGATTTAGAAGCCGATTGCACTTGTCTCAGAAGCTTAGATTGATTTTTAAGGCAACATCCTTTATGTTCATAAAGGTAGCTAAAAACAATTGGTCTATGTATTGCAGATAATTTATTGGTAGGAATTTAAGTAGTTAAATTATAATTAACCCAGGCTCAAGGATGCATGCTAGCTTCTGCTGTTTAATTGGTCTATGGTTACTTAGATTGTTGCATTGTTTGCCAGTTAAATTGTAGAAACCACAACTTAGTGCAAATATATAATTGCTATAGATGATGTGGCACACAAACCACTCAGGGATCAGTTCCAGACCATCCTATGACTTTAAATGCTTGTTTTGCACAACAAGTTATGTGAAGTTCAACTTGTTCATTCTCATTCAACATTCTCAAGTGCTGAGCATCATCCAGCAATGTCAAGCTTCTGATTCCTCAGCAAGATTCTTGCCTATGATCGAATGTATTATTTCAACCACAAAGATCAGTATTGTGTGCTGTTTCCTCCCTATACCCTGGCTGTGTAGGTCTGCATCACATAGTCATATTAAAGACAGGGATGCTGTCATCTCACAGGCATTGAATATGTGTTCAGTGTGTGGTGCTATCCTCCTGGTGATAAATAAAACCTTCACACCAAGCCAGGTTTCTCATGAGCTGAAGAGTTGTGCACATGCATCTCATGAAACCCAGCCCAGAAATTGCTAGATTTGGCACCCATGGCTGATAGGCGCAGCACTTGTCAGCTGGCAGCATCCAGGTCTTGAACCTATCAATGACAGTATAAGCACCTGTGAGTCAGTACAGTTTAGTTTTTGGCAGGAGTTGCTAATTAAATGTCATTGTCCTGCATAACTGGCAGGAACATGTAGTAAATGGTTAGATAACAATATGTAAGCCCATGGCAAGTTGTCCGTCACCACTCTAACACTCTTAAGCCCATGGCAGTGATCCCGTCACCACTCTAACATCTGTAAGCCATGGCAGGTTGATCCTGTCACCAACTCGTACATATTTGCCCACAACAAACAATTTGTGCATTGTTGGGGTGCATGGGCTTGCCCGTGAATAGCCCAATCAGTACCTTGGCTGGCAATGCTTTCAAACTCAAGATCATGTCACTAACAGTGATGCATGGTGCTGATGGGTATCATGGAAATTCTGTAAAGGAAAAAGCCTGAGGGCTGAAGCCCAGCATTCTCTGAGCTTTTAATCTCTAGGTTTTAAATTGGGCTCTGTGGTATGTGACCTTGATCATCTGGCCTTTCCTGAGCTGATGTTTGGAAATTGAAAAATTGGTTGCTGGTCTGCCATGTAACAAATGGTATACCTGTAGGGCCAATTCAAGTTTGTGGTCTTCTTTAGTCCATGGGATATGGAGCAATCAAAATGAGACATCTGAATTGTGGATATGTGTCAAGCTATGTTACATGTATCATATTTGGTGCATCAAAGCTGGTATCGACTTCCCTTCAATTGGTCAGTGCATCAGCAGGGGAGGAGGCAAAAGTCTTATATGTGGTCCCCATACACTGTAGCTCACCATTGTCTTCTGACTTCGTCCTACAGCAATGAAAAAGTATAAACCGACGGACGCGACAACGAACCCGTCGCTGATCCTGGCGGCCGCGTCCATGCCGCAGTACCAAAACCTCATCGAGAAGGCGGTGGAGTACGGCAAGGACGCCGGACAGTGAGTAGCGGCAGAAGGCATGGTCGTTTTCCGACCGCAAGCTCTCGGGCGGCGTGGGGGGCGCCGACCCACACACTGCGTGCATCAGCCGGGAGGCGGCGGCCCCTCCGCGCGTCGGGTCTGTGTGGCGAGGTTCGGCGTACCGTTGCCGCATGTGCCGGCCCCGCCTCCGACCCCGGCCGCCGGCGTCGGCTGCTTCCGGCGGCCGGCGGTGCAGACCGGCGGACGTGGCCAGATAGGGCCGGACGTCGGCGTCGGCTGGCGCGCCGCTGATTGGCGCCCTCGAATCATGTCCGTCCGGCGAACTGACCAGCGCCGCGCGGTACGGGGGAGCGGGCTGACCAGCGCCGCGCGGTACGGGGGAGCGGGCTGACCAGCGCCACGCGGTACGGGGGAGCGGACTGACCAGCGCCACGCGGTACGGGGGAGCGGACTGACCAGCGCCGCGCGGCACCGGGGGAGCGGGCTGACCAGAGCGGGCGGTAGGAGACCACCATAGTATAGCATGTCACTCCTCCCCTCCCCTCTCTCTCTTTCTGTTTCCGCCTCCAAATGCCTCCAAGTCCTCTATCTTGAGCCCCCACCGCGCTTTTCGTCATCTCCCGTGCTTCTGTCGGGCTGCACGGTTTGTAATTGTTCTTTCAGTCGTTTCCCTCGTTTTTGCTGTATCTCTCTCCATTTCCGGACCGCCTCTTTCCTGTTGTCCTCCGGCCCTCTTCCTTCAATATCCCCCCCGTGCCCGCTCGCTGCCCGTCGGAGCCGTCTTGCGCCACGCTCACGGCGCCCTGCCCGCCGTTACGCCCGGCCGTCTCGGGCACCTGCCTGCCCCAGCTGGAATATAATAGCCCACACGTGCCACATGACTGCCCGGGTTGGCGCGACAGCGGAGCGGTGCAGACACGGACCGGGGCACTCCAGGAGAGCGGCGGAGTCTTCCGACGGGCGGGGACTAAGCCAGGTCCACGGATGTATGACCCGACGGGCCAGGGTCAGACGCGGAGGAGGCAGCCGACCGGGCTGGCCACGCCTTTGATCGGTGTCAGATATGGACTTGATGATGGCCGTAGCAGCTGCATTATTCTGAAAACAATCACGGTGCGAAGTCAAGCTGCGGAGACGCGCCTTCTGAGCTGCCCGGCGACTCAGATCTGACACGCATATCAGTGTTCCTCATGTCAGTGGCCCCCAAACTCGGCTGATAGGCCCGGATAACAAGGCAGAGGCGTCCAGATGGGCCGTTGAATGCTCGTGCAGCCATGCGGCTGCATAGGTGCCTGGTTTCACTCGTCCCCCTTGCACCAGAGCGCATTCCTGTCGTGTTTGTGTCCCGTCTCCGCCCGAGGCCAGTGCGGTCGGTGGCGTGACACCTTCGGCAGCGGCACGCCGGGTCGATCCGTGACACGTGACCCGGGACGGCGGCATTCCGGGCGTGCCGGGCCGCCACGTTCAGTGTAACTGTGCCCTGAAACAGCCACCAGACCGCGGGTCACCTCAGCGATGTGGAACCACCGGCAGCCGTGCTTTCCAAAAGAACAGCCGTTAGCTGTGGTCGACGGAGCGGCGGGATTTGACTGCGGGGATGGCGGCGTGGTTCGTTCGTGAATGCTGCCGTACAAAGGAAAAAGGCGCATGTGCATTTAAGCAGCTTTTCGGGGTAAAGCTTTTTCGATTTTCTGATATATCAAGGTATTGGTAGATGGAACATAATCGAATTATATGCCACTGAACTTGTCACATCTAGTAGCAATAGGCTTGGGCGTGGGGAGAGCAATCTCATGGACCAGACTTTAAACTGGGCGGTGTTTGCACTTCCTTTTGGGCATCGTGGACAGCATTCTCCCCATCGGCCCAGAAGAGAATGTCTGCAAGTGGAAGCGCGTACCTCATTTCCTCCGAAACTGGTAGCGGGTTTCCCACAGTTTTGTTGATCTTTACAGTGTTGAGGCCAGGCGTTCTGGTGCCATGTTCTCGGTCTTGTGGGTCAGGGGTGATTTTCACGAGGCTGGACGCCTCCATTGTTGTTCGAGGCGAGACTTTTAGTTGTAGACATGTTCACTGCCCTTTGCGAACCTGCAGACAGCGACCGTCCAGAAGGTAGGGGCGCAGACCCTCCTTGACTAGCGAGTTAAGCTTTTTCCGGGATGCACCATCCTAGAACACGCGGAAGTCGGCATGGCACACCGCAGTCGTGCTTATGCCTGTATCCTCTGCTGCTTGCCGGAGGTCCCGAAAGTCGGACTCCTTGGCCTTGGAAGTTTTTGAGTACATTGGCTGAAATCTATGCCTGAATTTGCGTCTGACGGTTCTCTGTGTGAAGATTGTCACTTTGCTTTTTTATCGCTGTTCGCTGAGGAAACGCCGGGACGTCACGGCAACGTCTTCTCCATCCATTTCTGCTGTTGCCCCATGCCAGAGGACTGCAGGCGACTTCTTCGACCTTTTTACTTGTCCTGTCCTCTCGAGGGTAGCAAATGACTCTGTACAAGTAACGAAACGGGGATGAAGAAGACCGTTTTGTGGTAAAGGATAAGGATCAACGTTTACTTTTATTAGGTCGGCACTGCACACGTGTTCGCGTCATCCCACTCGCGGGCCGCCTGTCTTCAGTAGTCAGCTCCACCCTCTCTGGTCCGGGCCAAATGTGTGTTGTGCTCCCGACACTGGTCGCACCCGTCGACGAACACGAGGCCAGCTCTTTCGGGCTTTATGCACTGATTTCCCGTTGTGCAGTTGACAAGAACAGTACTCACATTCTTCGTTGACACGTTTGGGGGAGCAAGTAGTCATCTCTGTTACCTCCCTTCAACACCGCTCGAAGCTTATTTGTCTTTGCTTTTCAGTGAAGTCTTGCATGCCATTGGCTGTGATATTCGATGACAGATAGTCTCTTCGGTGTGTGGTTAAACCGATGTGCGCACGACCGATGACTCTTGATGTGATTTCGGATGACAGTCGAGTCGATCTTGGTCTTCGACGTTGCACTTTCTCTTCGGTCCTCCTTTTCAGCAGCCGAAAGCGTTACGGATGACCTGGTCGTTGTTAAAACTTCAAGCCCACTGCTGCCATGAAGAACGGCTTGCACACGGGAACGGCTTGGTCGTTTCCATCCGGAAGCGTATAAATAAGAGCATAATAAGAGTCAAGTAATGCTTCGTAGCGTATCCATTCCCGGTATCTTCGCGATCAGCTGGCGCTGTCGCTGGCTGGCTGACATGACTGACATCCTGTCGTGGGTTAGCATCCATAGCAAGACCGACAGCGCTGAAAGCCGGCAACCGATGAGCGGCGGGGAGGCCTTCGGTAACGTCTAAACCTGTTGGCAGCTGGTAAGTAGCGGCGGGCTGAGGCTGCACGACGGTAGTCTTCGGCAGGGCCGGGGACGCTGAATCCAGGTGGTGGTTGAGCAACCAGTTGGTCTTCTTGAGAACCTCAATCCTCCAATAACATGGCCTACCTAATGTCGGTGGGGAAGGTTTTGTCGTCGGAGTGTTCCAGATGTTGTACCTCCATCTCTTCTAATGCACTCAGGCTGCATGCAGATGTGAAAAGAAAAAGGACTAAAACTAGAGCCTAATTCATCGGTAGGACCAGCGGCGCTGGCACAGAACGCCGCCAGGAAAGCGGCAGGCTGTGGCTAGACGGCGGCGAGTTCTCCGCTAGTGCCCGACGACTGCGGAGAAGTGGGAGGCTGTGGCTGGTCGGCGGCGAGCTTTCGCTAGTGCCCGGCGGCGGTGGGGAAGTGGGAGGCTGTGGCTGGACGGCGGCGAGAAAAAAGTCCGAGTGCAGGCCCGCGCCTTTTATTAATTGAATCGGCGGAGGAGAAGAAGAACTTTCGTTTTTTCACCGTAGCTCGCGCGCGGCACTTACGCTTCTTTTGTGTTGCAAATTGGCCTTGTTCCGTAGCTTCCGTTTATTTTTGACAAGGAAAATCCAAAATTCCGGGCGATTGGGGCCGATTACAACAACTATATTTTTGAGGATGATGGGGACCGTTATTACGAATCTGAAGGTGCAAAAACTCCAAAATGGCCAAAATGGCGCTTGCGCTTTATTGCCTTAGCACGGCATAATGCAGTAATGTGTTGCATGTGCATGTATGCATCTGTTTACAGCTAAATGCCAACTGATTGCAATGCTCTCCAGCAAGCCTGTGTCTGGAAAGCTGATAAAGTTAACAATGCTGGATAATTGGACTGTTGAAGCCAACCAACCATCGGGGTGGGGGAGGGGAGGGGGAATTCTCTAGCCCCCTGCGTCTACGCCGCCTCTTAAAGCAAGCGTTGACACAGGAACGTGAAAGCGGTACCCAGCTCTGTAAGCTTACACAGGTGACTGCGCTGGACGGCGGGCCTGGATCGATCCGGACGTTCTCGCTGCTGCTGCGCACACGTTCTCCCGCAGATTCTGGCTGAGGCTGAAGCTGCCAGGGATCGCCAGCCACGCACGGGCCCCGACGGCCGAAGCCAACTGTTGCCGGTGCCGGTCGGGCCGGAGCGGATTAGGAGGCCATTTTGTCGGCGGGCAGCTCCCGGGGCTCAGCTGCTCGTGCAGCCGTCCGTCGCTCGGTGCCCGGCCGAGCGGGCGCGCTCTGTCTAGACCCGGCGACCTCTCCCGGACGGGACGCTGCGCCTCGTGGCGCCGCCACGGCACGGACCGGGTGGCAGGGAGCCGGTCCTTTTTTCTGTTCTCTGTTCTCTGTGCTCTGAACGATCACGCCGGCTGCTGATTGAACGCGAAGTCCGTGTGGTCGGCAGACTGACTCATGCTCTGGGCCAGGGGTGGTAATTGAACATGCGGTGCAGTAGTGGTGGGGGGCCTGTCCCACCGCAGAATGGTCTGTCTGCAACTGGGTATTCCCCGCCAGGTGCAGGTGTCTTAACGCTCCGCAGATTATTCGTTCGCGTTGTCTACACGGCGTTTCGCGTACAGGGCGCCCGCACAACGCTCCATCGGCGCTGGCTGTGTGCTGGTGGCCCGCGGCGATTGGTCGCGGCCAGTGACCCGGGATTCGCCCCGTCCGTGGTCCGGCGCCGGTCAGGCACGGCCGGCCTCCAGCCGAACGTGAGCCGACCCTCCGCCGACCGGAGCGGCGGCTCGATATCGACCTGCACGGGCGGCACCCCGCCGCGCCGCTGACCCCGTCTGGAGCCGCGCCCACCGGCCGCGGCCGGCCGACCCGACGGCCCCTGCCCGGCGCGGCTGATCAGCTCTGGCCGGCGGCGACGGACCGGAGACTGTGGACAATGACGCCGTCTGTGTACCGGCCTCTTCCGGCGCGGCGGTGGGCTCCGGGCGGCCGGTCGAGACGGCGGTGACCGTGACTCGGCGCCGTGCGGGCCCGGCCGGTCGGGCGTGACCCGGGGCCGGCCGGAGACGCGGCGCGTGACGCCCCGTTCCGGCCTGATACGCGCCGCGCCGCGCGGCCCCTCCCTCCGGCCTCCGTGGCGCCGGTCCCGGCCCGCTCGCCGCCCGGTCAAGGGCGTCTGGAGCGCTGAAGGTCAGCCGACCGCTGCGGGGTTGTCTGGTACCGCGCGGCCGTTTTTGCCCGCCGGCTGGGGACGGGGACGTAAACCGCCGGCGGTGGACCACACGCAACACGCGGACGGTTGCGCTGGGTCGCCGGGCGCGGTTTTTCAGCCGATAAAAAGCTTACGCTGCCGGCTTTTCCAGCTCGGGGACAGACTGCGCGTACAAATAGAGCAAAGACGGATTCAGCGTTGTATGGGAGGGTGGGTTGAATTTCGAGTGTAACGCCGACGTAAGGTGAAGTCTAAATGGGTGATATTTCGTCCTCTTTTCATCGCCTTGAAGGAGAAGGCCCGCCGACTCGTCGGCCCTTCGGTCGGCCGTTGAATCCTAGCCAGAGGTTGCGGAAGGTAAATATCCACGGCCACGGAAGTCGCACCACCCTGCTGGAAATCCGTTGCGGGATATAACATTGTGCCGTGGTTTTAAGATCACGCGAATTAATAACGAATCCCAGTTGGGCGCAGGTATTCACACGATCCCGGAAGAGGCTTGCAACCTGCAAAAGAGGCTTTGTTAATCCCGGATCGGGCCGTATCGTTTAGTACCCAGGAATGCAGTCAATTATTGTATGAGTGCTCTATGAGCTGATGATATCTGCCGCTAAGTGGTCACGGACAGGGCCAGCTAACCCTGACCGAGGTATCTGTAACAATGGGGGGCTTGAGGCGCCGTTACGCCGCCTGGTCAGCCCGAGCCCCTGTTCCCTGCCGTCTGTAGATTCCCCAGAGCGGCTGCAGGAGCGGCCCATGACCGCGCCGTGTCCGTGCACGTCGCATCTGCAGCGTCCCCGGCGTGCCGGCCTGGCGCGGTTTACGGGCGTTAGGTAGTGAGGATACCGGTCCGGAGCGGACGCGGCCAGGTCCGGCCAGACCGTCCGCATCCGACGGGCACCCCCGACGTTGGAACGGCGCCTGGGCCCGGGGCGGTAGTGCTGGTGGTGTGTGGATAAGCGCAGAGACGTCTGCGGGGCTGGGGCCTGGTGAGGTTGTGCCTCGCCAGGCATGTTCGGTTTCCCGCATGCATCCCGCATGCGTGCGGTATGCGTGCGTGCATGCGACGCGCAGGGTTTCCCGCGCCGCGTCATGGCGGGGCTTCACCGCGCGGTCCCCGGCCTCGCCGAGGTGCCCGCGGAGACGGCAGGGGGGGGGGGGGGGGCTCGGTCGTCCCGCCGGCCTCGCTGCAGCCGGCCGCCGCGGGACGTGGCGCTCACGCCGTGCTGGACCGGCTCTCCGCAGCTAGCTCGTGCTCTACACTGTCGATCACTGCCGCGCCCAATGTTTGGTCCTATACGACACGCTTCGTTGTGTGCGCGGAATGCCGGCGGGCTTGGCGCGACCCAGTTAACCCGTTAAACAGGCAACATGCTCTTGTATTCGCCGTGAAAGTCATTCCCGGCTTTGTTAATTACCGTTATTCGCCATGTAAAGCCATTGCCGGTCTCGGTAGTTGCTGCGCCATTATCATTATCACCCTTACAATTAGCGTCTTGACTGTTCGTGTAACTGCCGGCACACTCACGAAGCATTTGATGATTCAGATGCTTCGTGTGTCTTTGGCCGTGTCTTGTGCGCGTTTTGGGCCGGACACCGGATGCATGGGTACATAAGGTGAACGGCATCCATTTTACATCTAAAGAGGGTGAATTCTAAAGGAATTGGGCGTTATTTAAATAACTGCATTGTATCCTTCCTTGCCACAGGCTGATGTATCCTTTTGAGCGTCTCGTCGCCATTGCGTGTGCGTGCGTGCGTGCGTCGGGCCGCTTCAGTTGTCTCCAACAGCAGACGTCTCGTTTCAGGACGGATGCGGAGCGGGTGTCGGCCACCATGGACCGCGTGTTCGTGCTGTTCGGGAAGGAGATCCTCAAGATTGTGCCTGGCCGCGTCTCCATCGAGGTCGACGCCAGGTCAGCTGGACCGCTGGACCGCAGCGGGATCGCGGCTCAGCCGCGCGCAGCGCAACTAGTGGTCTGAACTGTACCCGAACTTGATAGTACTGGATTGAAGTGCTCTTGTAGAAATGGTACCTGGCCACACTTCAGGGTCGTCGATGGTGATTGTTGGCGCGGGTCTTTCGGATGCGTTTGTCTCAAGATCGGGATATGCTGGCCGGTTGATTCCGGCGTGCGTACATCAGATGGGGCGTGAGGATCGCCGCAAGTCCTACGGGTCTCGGATGGGGAGGGATGTGGACGTGTCGCGCGGCACGGGACAGACGCTAGGGCGTGAGGGTCGCCGCAAGTCGCACGGGTCTCAGGTGGGAGGGACGTGGACGTGTGGCGCGGCACGGGACAGACACTGGGGCTTGAGGGTCGCCGCAAGTCGTACGGGTCTCAGGTGGGAGGGACGTGGACGTGTGGCGCGGCACGGGACAGACACTGGGGCGTGAGGGTCGCCGCAAGTCGTACGGGCCTTAGATAGAGATGGACGTGGACGTGTCGCGCGGCACGAGGCAGACGCTGGGGCGTGAGGGTCGCCGCAAGTCGTACGGGTCTCAGATGGGGAGGGATGCGGACGTGTCGCGCGGCACGAGACAGACGCGCATCCCTCCAACTGCACAAACTCGCACGACTCGCGCCGAGCTCTGCACGCCACCGGGCCAATGCGAGCGTTGACCCTTCGAAACTCTGGGAGGCGCCAAGCCGCTTGGCGTGGTGCCCAGAATTACTCTGTCTCCCATACATTGCGTGAGCGCCTCCGCTTCACCGGAGGCTTAAGGCCACTGAGGGCATCGCTGCTCAGGCAGCGCAGCACCGGGACGAGGGCAGCAGGACAAGCGTCAGCCCGTCCAAGGACGCCGCGCTGTGGGCTGGGCGTGCGCGCGCGGGCGCAGCAAACCATCACCTCCGCAGCGACCGTGTCAGGCGGCGACCGCACCACCGGTGTTTTGTTCGGGTAGTGAGTCAGAACCGCCTGGGTTAAATGCTTCATTACGCGCCGGATCTACGTCGCGTGGCGCACTTTCCCCGTCACCGTGCCGCGTCTGACTGACGCTTGTGACACGCCGGCAGGCTGTCCTTCGACACCAAGGCCAGCATCGCCAAGGCGCGCAAGTTCATCTCGATGTTCGAGGCCGAGGGCATCAGCAAGGAGCGCATCCTGATCAAGCTGGCCTCCACGTGGGAGGGCATCGAGGCGGCGCGCGTCCTGGAGCAGGAGCACGGCATTCACTGCAACCTGACGCTGCTCTTCTCGTTCGCCCAGGCGGTGGCGTGCGCCGAGGCTAGCGTCACGCTCATCTCGCCGTTCGTCGGCCGCATCCTGGACTGGTCAGTGCCGGCCAGGGCCAGGCTCCCGGGTCTGGGTCCGGTCAGTGACCGACCAGGTCATCATGAGTCAGGCTCCCGGGTCTGGGTCCGGTCAGTGTCGGCCAGGGGGGGCGGATCAGGCTCCCGGGTCTGGGTCCGGTCAGTGCCGGCCAGGGGATCCTGAGTCCGGCTCCCAGGTCTGAGTCTGGTCAGCGGCCGTCGCGAGGCTTGGGTCGGGCTCCCGGTCTGGGTGCGGTGAGTGGAACTGGGCGAACTATATGGGACGGATCAGTAGCGTTGGCTCCGGGGATCAGTGACTGACCCGCGCGAGACTGGTCAGTTGCCCTGCGTGACCAGACATCAGGTCGCCAGGTACATCACCTCATATCGTGGCACAGATCAGCTGATATTGCGTATCAGGTAGGTTAGACATCAGATAGCAGATCAGACACGGATATATCCAGATCCCGATCCGGATACGTACGGGGCTGGCCGATTGCTAGGGCCCTTGTGCTGACCCGTTCTGAGCAGGTCGTTATCTGTGGTCCTAAACGACGCTGATTTGGTGAGACCTCGGTCGTGATATTCACCAGTCTTACCAGTAACGTGAGCTCGGCCCTGTTCCGTTAGGGGCGTGCTGGTCAGATGTCATTGGGGTCCTTGGTCGGGGGGCTGCTATTTGGCTGAACAGTACAGTCGTTTCTTGTGTATGGCTGCTATTGCTGTACTGGGCTAGGAAAGCCTGTATTCAACGGGCGCTGTAAGACTTCATTTAGTGCCCAACCTTGAAGTCAGGATGAATCCAGATTCAAACCAAATGGCGTGTACCAAGACGAAATCTGCGCTACTTTATTTGGACGTTTATCGCTCTCAGCCAGCCAAGTTACTGGCAGCCATCACAAAAGATCACTTTTGGCTGCTTACGCTGGCGCTTCCTGCCAGCCGTAGCGACCCTTACAGAGCAAGGTCATGCAGGTCAAGGTCATGTCTGGAGGTCATAATGCAAAGCTTAAATGTTCACTTTAGACTATGACCAGTGCCATCCGGCGTGGTTTCGTTAGATAATCAACTCCGCGCACGTGTTCGTTTAAATCAGGCACGTGGCGAACACGGACAAGAAGAAGTTTGAGCCCCGCGAGGACCCGGGCGTCATCTCGGTCACCAAGATCTACAACTACTACAAGAAGTTCGGCTACAAGACGGTCGTCATGGGCGCCTCCTTCCGTAACACCGGTACGGGCCGGCCGAGTTAGTCTGCCCTGGCCGAGCACTGTGTTACTGCTATCGTGCACGCGGAAGGGAATCTGGAGATTGGTTGTCGAGGTGGCAGGGCAGGTGGCAGTGTGCAATAGCGCAAATATTGGTTGTCGAGGCGGCAGGGTAGGCGGCGGCGTGCAATAGCGCAAAGATTGGTTGTCGCAGCGGTAGGGTAGACAGCGGCGTGCAATAGCGCAAAGTAACCAGCTGTTCGACCAACTGCTGTTTCATGAGGTGTACCGCGAGCCGCAATGCGATAGTGTGTTTTCGTCATTGATCACGTGTTTTCGGCGGCACGCCAGTTTTAATGAAAGTCGGTGCCCCGGCTGTCAGCACAAGCCCGGAAGTCTGTTCCGCGGTGCTCGTTTCGTCTGACATTTCGGATCATGCTGAGCTCACCTGGCCTCTCAGCGAGCCTGGCCGCGCGCCTGCGCCTCTGCGCCGGCCGTGGTCGCTCGCCCGGCGGCTGCGTCGGAGTCGCCGTCGCTGCGGGAGGCAGTCAGTGGCGCGGCCGGCGCCGCCTTGTCCTGCCCTCCTGACAGCTGGCGGCGACGGCCGGCCGCCGGCCGCCTCTGACCGCCGCTGACCGCCGCTGACCGCCGCTGACCGCCGCTGACCAGCCGCTGACCGCCTCTGATCAGCCGCTGACCGCCGCTGACCGCCGCTGACCGCCGCTGACCTGTGTCCGCCAGGCGAGATCACGGCCCTCACTGGCTGCGACCTGCTCACCATCAGCCCCAAGCTGCTGGAGGAGCTCTCCAACAGCACCGACCAGCTGCACCCGCAGCTCACCGAGAGCATGGGTAGGTGGGCTCGGCGGCCGACGCCGGTCGGCCCGCCAGCCAGTTGACCCCGGCTCCGGCCGTCGAGCCGACAATGCCGTCAGTCGTTTCACACGCATCTGATGCTGCTGCTGTGGGTGGGTGCTGCTGCCGCAAGAGGCTAGATGTGTGGTCATCGGCCATGCGTAGGCAAGCGAGCCAGCCAGCCGGCTGGTAAGACGCCATGCTGCTCATGCATTCAAACGAATAATGTATTTGCCCTGTAGCCATTGCGTGCGCCTAGCTGCCCCTTCCACACCTTACCGTGTCTGCCTGTCCCTTCCAGCTAAGAAGCAGGACCTGGACAAGGTGGACATGAGCGAGCCAGTCTTCCGCTGGATGCACAACGAGGACGCCATGGCCACGGACAAGCTGGCCGAGGGCATCCGCAAGTTCGCTGCGGATGCCGTCAAGCTGGAGACGCTGCTGCAGGCCAAGCTGAAGTAGCGGCGGCGCTTGGTCACCGTCGTCAACCGCGCATCATTCCAGCGCCAGGTTGTGGGTCGATCCGGCCGTACAAAGCGTCGGACGTGTTGGAGATTTTTTACTTTAATTTTATGAATAGTTGAATCATGACGTAGAGCTTTGACATCACGTGTACCGTCGCTTGGACGCACAGGGTTGCTGGAATATATTTACCGCCTCGGTACGTGTGCTTCATTGGAGGTGGTGGAGACGCTGACACAGTATGCTCAAATTTATTCGACGAGAGGAGTAACCACGCGAACACAGCTAGCACATTTCACACACACTACATACTACCTCGCTCAGTACAATGAAGATGTCTTCTGTGGAAGAGAGCGCCTGCGGCTCGTGGATATATTGCACTATTCTTAGTCACCGCCTTCCTGCCTCCACGGACTCGAGGAGATTGATAGGAGAACAGACAGGAGCGGACAGAAATGGACCGACTGGTGGGATCGGGACCAAGACCGGGACAGACAGGCTGAGGCGGCCGAGGCCGGGGCAGACAGGGTGGCGGGGCCGGACCGGCAGGGTGTCCGTGTGAGCACTACGCGCGTCAGGGGACTGCGCCGACCCGGAGGCGGCCGGAACACAAGGACGAAGGGGGGGGGGGGGAGCAGGCAGGGTATACAGAATCGCACCGGAGCACGTCTTCTTTCCCGCCTCGGGACTTGATCGTCGCTCCGGATGATCGCGGACAGTGCGCAGCGGGGTCCACTCTCAGCAGGACCGGCTGGAGTACCTGCGGTCCAAGCGGGCGGCCACTGGCCTACGTTCCGACGCCGCGATGTGCGGTTCGCCGCGGCCGTGCGTGCGGCAGGACGCGACGAGGCGAGGCGAGACGGCCCGCGCAGGCCAGAGGCGGCGGGGCTGCTGTCACAGCTGCCGCCGACCGGGTCGCGTCCTGCCACACGGCCGGGGGCAGCGACGGTCGGCGCCATCACTGGCTGGCCGGTAAGGCAGCGGAGCTGCCGTCACGGCTGCTGCTGACCAGGTCGCGTCCTGCCGCACAGCCGAGGGCTGCGACGATCGGCGCCATCACTGGCTGGCCAGTGATGGCGCAAGAACACCCACCCAACCGTTATTAAAAACACAAAGGGCAAACGCATGGGAACATCACTCGCCGCCCAGTTATTAGATTCACATTGTTTGTCTTGAAAAATGCGACAGCCCACAACCAATACTTAACGAATATGGCAAGACCTTATACGCGCACTGATTGCCAAGCATGACGGAGTACAAAACAACAAGCGTGCACGACTGGCTTTGTCCGTAAGCATGCACCATCCGATCGAAAACGCGACGCCGACTACCGCCCGGCCGCTGGGCCTAGCTCCAGTAGGTCCACCCTGGGCTTGACCTCGCCACCCCGGCCCATGCTTCGTTGGTCTCATCGGCATCGTCGGGAATACTCCGTCACTTCTCCCTATTGCCGGCAGTGATCCCAAACGCCAATGGAACGCGTCGCGATGGCAGGCCCCTCAGGGAACACGATCACAGCTAGACACAGCTAGAGTCGGGCCCTAGTCGGCCACAGCTAGGCTACCGTTGCTGGAAGATGCCGTTGCTGGCACACAGTCATCACATTGAATCACACCGAGGACCGAGCGGCCGGTGTACAGCGGCGCCTCTCCGGACACCGCGCTGGACTCAACAGCTTCGTTGTCGCTGCGGTGCCGCCGTCGCTGTACATACACCGCCGGACACAGACCACGACGACGACGACGTCGGCTGGGTCAGTGCTTCACGTCGCCCTCAGCCGCATCCGAACGGCGCGGATCGCCGCCGCCGTCCCTACTCCAGCGTGACGAGCAGGTCGTCAGCGGTGACCTTCACGCCGCCGTCGACCTCGACCGTCTTGACGACGCCGTCGGCCGGCGCCTGGACCACCATCTCCATCTTCATGGCGGACAGCACCACCAGCGGCTGGCCCTTGGTGACGGCGTCGCCCGGCTTGACACGCACGTCCAGTATGGTGCCGTTCATCGGCGAGCCAACCGACCGCTTGTCGCCCGGGTCTGCCTTCGGGTGCACCTCGATCTCCTGCCGACACGGCCGGCCGGGCCCGGTCAGAGGACGCCGGGGCTCGGGCCGGGGCCGGGGCTCATGGCTTTGCTGACATTGTGTGAACGCAATTTGAGTGAACTGTATGAACGAACAACGAATGAACGCACTGTATGAATGATGAAAAAAGAACCACAAAGTGGTACCCGTTACGATGCTGTTCAGAGCACGACGCGCGGTTAGTAACAAACATTAAAACGACTCGATCATAACCGGCGAATCGCCGGCGCATCCTGCCCCATGCCTGCACTGGAGGGCAGGCATGGGGCAGGCGGCCACGCGCGGCCCGCCGTGGACCGAGCAGAGCCGACACGGTCCGCGGCGATGCCCGCGCGGCGCCGCGCGCGCCGCTCACCTTGGCAGCCTCCGTGTCGCGGATCAGCACGGAACGCAGCTGCCCGTTCAGCTCGAAGAACACCTCGCGCTCGCCGCTGCGCGTCAGGTCGGCCGCCATCGCCAGAGTCTTGATGTGCAGCGTCTTGCCGCGCTCGATCGTCACCTGGCAGCGGTGGTCGGGTCAGGTCAGGTCAGCTCAGGTCAGCACGGGCCGCCGGGTCCGGAGACAGGCCGGTGAGATGGAGGCGAAGGAGACGGGGGCGAGAGCCGATGGCCCTTTCGTCTTTGGCGAGCGGTGGACGACACCACAGACGGGGCGTGGACGAGTTCGGGAGTCACGAGGAGCACGCAAATCGAAAACATAAGGTGTGGACGACGGTCTGCGTCATCCCGTCATCTGCCGCCTTCTCGCTGGTAGACATAAACTTTCGCTACCAAACCCAGCCCACATGAGAGCAAAGACCCGAAACACGACCGATCGAACACACTGCGAGGGCACCGTCGGCCGCTACAGATCCCCGCGTGCCACCAGCGGGCGGCCGGGGAGGCCCACCTCGAACTCCTCGGCGACGCGCGGCCCCACGAGGAAGATGCGCGTGTCCAACTTGTCGACGGGGCCGTACTTCTCGCGGAACTGGAAGAACTCGGTCGCCACATCCGGGTACATGGCGTACGACATGATGTCGAACTTGGAGAGGTCGGAGAAGCGCTCCTCCAGCTGCTCGCGCACGGCGTCGAAGTCCATCGGCTTCATGTTGGCGCCAGGCCGGCCCTCGACGGGCGACAGGCCCATCAGAACCTGGGTGGGATGGGGCGAGGGGGTGGGACATCAATGGCTAACACAGAGACACGCGTCCAGGCTCGGGGCAGGGCGACGTCTCATGATCTACAGCACGGGGACACCAGCGACAGAGATGGAGAATATGTGGAGACGCGTCGGGATATCCAGGAAAAGGTATGGATGAGATGGCAGACCTGAATGCCAGTGGTACGTCGAGACGCAGGGCCGAGTTCAAAACTCGAGGAAGGGTCCTGGGGACCTCTGGCGGAGAGACTTCTCAGGACCTGAGACCAGGGTGCACACCAGTATGTAAGGCGTGCGTGTAGGCATATCAAAGGAACTGAGACAGCCATCAGGATTGGGGGAAGAAGACTCTTCCGAACGCGGTACAGTCGGTCCGGACTCGGGAAAACCAATGCGAAACAAAGTAATTATGTCAGAATTGACGCATGATGAGGCCATTCCACTCGGACCCCGGACATTACATCACGGCCGGGAAAGCATGCGAGAATGGACAATATTTTGCACGTTTCAAAAGATTCCAGACCCTCGAAGGCCCCAAAGGATACCACACACGTCAAGGCCCCAACGAGACCCGCGCAACCTAATCACGCACGACACGACGTTGAGGTTCACACAAAACAGAATCATCCTGTCCAATGACTGCTCCCTATTCTGGGGATGCCCGTCGGTTCATGAAACTGGCAACCAGCACCATCCACTTCGTCATGTGTCGGGGACACCAGACACCAGTCGCACCTTGTTCCTGAGCGGCTGCGGGAAGCCGCCGTAAGGCTCGCCCAGGTAGCCCTGCATGAACTCGATGACCGACTTGGGGAAGCTGAGGTCCTCGGCCCGGTCCAGCACGTCCTGGCCGCTCAGGTTGTTCTGCACCATGAACTGGGCCAGGTCGCCGACCGTCTTGGAGGAGGGCGTCACCTGTCGGGCGGCGGAGGCGGCGGGTCACAGTCGCCTCTCACAACTGGACGCCAGGACCGGGCGGCGCCGGCACCAGCGGCGCTCAGGGCAGCGGAGACCGCGCCTCGCAGCCGCGCTTCAGTTCACAGTTAGCTGGAGTTAATGCTAACATTTCCATCGCGATTGGAAATATCCGTCACGATCACTGAGAAAGTTTACATGAAACTGTCGAGATGACGACGCAAGAAAGGAGCGTGTTACACATGGATCACTTAACACGGCACTGAAAGCGTCGCAAACATCAAGGCAACGAGAAGTGAGGGGACTGAGATAAACACGAATGCACTTCGTAAGCCCAACACTGCATCTCACAGGTCACAGCCATTCCCACAGACCCGCCCGAAGACCGTCCACACACGTCGGCCCACCTTAATGACATCCCCGAGCAGCATGTTGGCCTCGCGGTAGGCTTGCTTGACCTTCTCGAACTTGTCGCCGAGCCCGAGCGAGAACGCCTGGAACTGCAGGTTGGTGTACTGGCCGCCGGGGATCTCGTTCAGGTAGACGTCGGCGTTGCCCGAGCGCATGGTGGTGGTGCACTCGAACGGCGCGTACAGCGTGCGTGTCTGCTCCCAGAAGGCCGAGTAGTCACTCACGGTCGACAGCGGGATCCCTGCCGGCAGACGGCGATCAGTCAGAAAGCGGGATCCCTGCCGACGGATGACGGTCAGTCAGACAGCGGGATCCCTGCCGGCGGTCAGCGGTCTGTCAGACAGCGGGGGTCCTTGCCGGCGGTCGGCGGTCAGACAAACAGCGGGGTCCTTGCCGGCGGCCGGCAGTCAGACAAACAGCGGGATCCCTACCGACGGTCGGCGGTCAGACAAACAGCGGGATCCCTGCCGGCGGTCGGCGGTCTGTCAGACAGCGGGGTCCTTGCCGGCGGCCGGCAGTCAGACAAACAGCGGGATCCCTACCGACGGTCGGCGGTCAGACAAACAGCGGGATCCCTACCGACGGTCGGCGGTCAGACAAACAACGGGATCCCCGCCGACGGACGACGATCAGTCAAAAAGCGGGATCCCG